AAACCTGAGGAATAAAGGCAGCCATTACATTAATCCTCATCTTCAGAAAAATTCCACTTCATGTCAGCAGTTGGTAAAGGGAGTAGGCAAAAGGTGACAACGGGGTAATCTGCCCTTTCCATGTCCCTAAACCTCATGAAAACCCCACTATCCTTGTCTCTGTCAAGATTTAAACTTTTAACCCTTCAGCTAAAAGGAGAAAATCATGCTTTCCCCAACTGGAAGTTGTCTTGGCACTTGTCACCATCCTGGCGACTGGTGATTGCACTCATTTACATTTTTTACCTGCAGGTAAAGCCTCAGTGTCTGGCCCAGAATCAATTCTCTTTTGTCTTGGTGGGAAGACTTGTCAGCCATCTAAAGTTGAGGCACCTCATCCAAGTATGTGGCCCAGACACCTGTGACAAGTTCATCCCTCCCCAGCCTAAATGACTAAGTTGACTCAACTCCAGAGGGACATCCATGTTTGCACTGGTTATAGAGCAGGCTAGACCACTAGTTTAAATGAGACTTGCAGCTTTTTGACACCTAATGCTAGAGTAAAGGGATCCCACCTCCCTGACTTGTGTAGTCTTCAGACAGTCTCCAGTTGCTCTAGGTCCATTTCTTCTGGAGTGTTCTGACCACTGTATCCTGGCCAGAGCAGATTGTACCTACATCATTGAGAAGATGTCATGGCATTAGAGACCAGTGTGGCAGCAGGACCATCTGCCTACTGACTCATGCTTGATGTGATCTTGAGGCAGTTTGTAAATCCATGTTCCCTTTTTAGGCTATTTTTATGCAAAATGTACATCAGAGTAACTTTAACACCTTCATTAATCTTATCTGACCTTTAGTAAAAGGAGCATACAGCCAACAAATTTTTGAAAGAGAAGGTCAGCTGAGCCTGTTTTCATGCAAGTCATATCTATAAAACCTCTACTAAAAGAGAGTACTCACTGACTTGAAAACGATCTGATTCTTAAACAATATTCCAATCCAAAAAACCTGATCTTTAAATTGGGTCTTGCAACTCCTTTTGCAAAATCAGCCCTGCCATTGAGATACCTCTGGTGAGCATGAAGTCAGATTATTTTTTTCTGTGCATGAGTATTCCAGTAAGTTTGCAGATGAACTCTAAGCTCTGGTGCAATTTAAAAGCTGTAGACTGAATACGCTCTTTTCAGTCCCTGCCAAGCACCAGCTCGCTGCAGGATTAACACATACATAGCATTCAAACCATAGCATGTGTCTGAAAGGACAGGTCACCGTAATCCTCAGACCACAGTAGTGCCATAACACACCTTCCAGTCACCCCTAAACTTGCCCACAGTGAAGTACAACTGAAAAAAGACTGAGGACAGAGTGAGTTAGGGACCTAGTCTCTAGACCCTTCCTAGAGACAATAGAGGGAGACAAGCTCTGCTCTGGGGTAACAAGTCTTTGATGGGATAGGATGGAATGGGACTAACCACCTTCTGGAAGTGCCTATTCACTGTTCTTTGTGCAGAGATTGAAGACGAGTATTTCAGGAGAGACCTCTGACTTTTAGATGGCTAAGGTCTGTCAAGATGAAACCCATCCATCCCTGGACAGGAGAAGCTCACATTCCTGTTTTTTCAGCCAGCTTGTTTGTCTTTGCCCTGAAATGAACTCCCATTAATCTCAGAGTAAGTTGTGGCTGAGAAGTAGTTTGTGAATCTGTTTTTCATCTTTGCCACCTTTCAGCTCTCATTTTCAAGCCTCCAGCTCAGCCTGGGTGCCTGGCCATGGCCATGTGCATAGGCATCCTACCAGGCATGCCAGCACTCTTCTCAAGAGAGGAGACTCAGCCACCAAGCTGTGTAGACACAGCCTTTGGCATCTCACTAGAGAAAGGGCAAGAGAGACTTCATATTCCTGGAATGGCCTTGCTTCCCTACAAGAATATCTCAGTTTGTGCTTATTTTCTTGAAGTTTTTTCATCCTGGATGATTGTTCTATTTGTTTTAATTCACTCCTGAGAAAGGGAAGACAAACAAATGCCACAGGGCTAGGACATGAAGGAGCACATGTAATTTGGCAAAGACTGTCTGAGTGCTGAACCCAAGTAGGCTGGAATCATAATATTTGCTAAATTTCATATTCAGGGCAATACCCCAAGCTCTATTTTTTCTGTATTTTGTTCGTCCTGGCTATTAATAGCCTATATGACACCCATATGATCAAATAAATCTGGCCACTGTGGAGAGCTCTGTGGAAGTGGCTTGGTTGTGCTGTGTGTGGGCTGAGTTTATGAGCAGGTTTTGAGGAAGCTGTCCAGGGGTTTCACCACCCCTCAGGGAGTGTCTTGCACAGCAGTTTTCAGGGTAGGAGGGAGAGAAGGAAAGTGAGACCCCCTCTGTGGTGGCAATACCTCTGGCTGCTGCCAGCCCAGGGCCAGACTGAGCCCAGGACCTTTGCTGTCCAGCCCTGGTGATAAAATACCTGGCCATGGGGAGCACTCTCTACCCCTGAGTGGGAATTTAATTCTTTGTTTGTGATTTTATTTCACTCCATTTTGAAGCAGTGAAAGAGTAAGAGAAGCTGGTAAATAAAACCTCGAGTTGCTTATTCAGTTTTTACTTCTTTTCATTTTGTCTCCTAGAAACTAAGGGCAAGTTAGTCTGTTAAGGCTTGGATAATTAGGCTGTTACAATTATTTCTTTTTCTTAGAAGCAGAGTACAAAGTATTAATAATATTCCTTGCTAAGGTTCAAAAATTATTCTTTTTCTGCAGTTAAGCAAGGCACTCTTTTAAAATAAATTTACCTACGAAATTGTTAGTGCAATTTAAAAATGTTCTGTGCTTTGCCTTCTCCCAAGAGACCCTGGCTAAGTACTACTTCAGATAGTGGCAAAACATACAAGTAAGTTGCTAAAGGGACTACCCCAGCACTGAATTTACTGCAAAACAAACAGAAGTGACATAAGCAAATAGGTGAACTCTTGAAAAGGGCCCCAGCAGGGCAAAGATTTGAGGTTTTTTTCATTGGTTTCTCTGGTTCAGAAAGCTTAATTTCTCAGCAAAAAACTAGCAGTGCATGGCCAGGCAGTAGCAACTAGGCATGTCAACAAAATAAGCAATTTTAAGCCATTCAGTCAAGCTAGCCAAGGGGAGTGGATGAAAAAGGCATTTTTAAAAGCTGTTCTGTGCACTTGAAGTGTCTTTTTTCATTCCTCTGGTCTTCAGATTCCATCCAGGACACGTCTTTGCATGTCAGCAAAATCTAGATGAAATCTCAAAGACTGAAATTCTCTGCTGGGGGTTTAGGAGGAACTTGAGTGGTCATAAACCTTGAATGGGCTGCTACACAGGAGGAATTTCATTCACAGAGTTCCTTTGCCATTTTATTAAGTATCTTTTATTTACATTTTGTAACTATATCTTCTGCCTGCACCATGAAACCTCTTAGCAACTTTTCAACAATGGATCTTCTGTATAATGTGCTTTTTAAAGCTTCCTGAAATGAACTCTTCATACTGTATATATTAGATAACTAATATTGTACTACAACTCTATTGACTGCATGTTTTTCAAGGAGCCACAGGAGTCCATTCTTCCTATGCATCTCATTGGAACCTATCTCAGAACCATCCATCATGTGCAGATCAGCAAGGTTGTCATGAATGAAGAAATAAGAGTTTTAAATTGCAGTCCTATCACCTGAGAAATACACTGGCTTTAAGACTTAGCAGGGTGTTTGCATTCCTGTCATGAAACCTTGAACATCCATTTAAGTGTAGGGCTCTGTCTGAAATGCAGCATTCTGTGGGATTGTCTGTATGGATCACAGCATGGCTGATGTATGGGTGAAGTGGTATACTATTTGTACCTTTTATGTTAGATTTGACCCAGGAATTTTACCACCTGAAGTGTGTTTTATTTACAGTTCAGATGAGCAGTGCTCAAGTGCTGTGAGCAGCAAGTTGAATTGTCAATACATAAAGGCAAAGTGTGTGTGCTATAGTGCTGCTCTGTGCAGGTGGGCATGGCTGGACTGGCTGCATTTCCCCAGGATGATCAGGCTATGCTCACTAGCTATGTAAATGTTTAAAAAAAAAAAAAAAAATCTAATTTCTTAATGTGATCTAAAGCCAGCCATTTCTGTGGTATGAAACTGATCTATCAAATATAATCCTGTGTATGACTTACTTTAAAATTTCCACCTTTAGAAGTGATTTATATGGGAAATAGATGAAGGTGTCATGTATAGGTATTTCAGACGAAATTAAGGAAAAATATTAATCCATGCACATAAAAAAAACAAAGGTAAAACAGAGGCTTGTAGAACTCTCCAAGAAACGAGGTTACTTCTCTGTATTATCTTTTCATTCTATTCTGGAGTGGGTTTCTAAAGGCTGCCACAACCAGCAGGCTCAGCAACAGCCATAGTTAAGTTCCTTGGGTAGAGGATGATGCCATGTTCAAATAGATTTGGATACATTCTGCTCAGCCCTGTTCTTGGCATTTGCTGATATTAATACTGTCCTTTTCAAGGTTTCCTCATCATTCTTCAGTCTCACATCTTTAATGTCTTTGTAATTGTCTGCCTTTTCCAGATGCAAGACAAAGAATAGAATCCAGTAGCTGTTTTTTCTTGAGTGTTTTGTCTAGCTCCAGCATGGAGCAGGCAGTATAAAATCTCATTCTCTTTCAAACTGAGTCTCTCTTTTCTTTCTCATAAGTATGTATTCCTATATCTATTATTCCTGCCATTACACAAAACCCGATATAAAAGTAAATGCCACTAAAAATCAACACTCCAAACACTGCTTCATTACAGTAGCAGGCAGACAATTTTTACCAGCAGAAGGGGCCAGATACGCTGATTGGTGTTATAACTTATAGTAAATATTTATAAAAACAATCCTGGACTCAAGATATATCTGTAATATTTTTTGCTCAATATTTTTCTCTCCTTTAGTTTAGACAATATTCTCTCACTGTCTAAAACACTTCCACTCACTCCTCATGGATTTTAGGATCCTGTTCTGACCTGTTTCCTTTGCACTTTTTGAAGAGGGTTAAATTTCATCCACTTCATGTAGTATGCTTTGACACTTCAGTCGCTACAATAGAAGCTGGAAAGTAGGCAATGCATATTCACAGCTCCTGAAACAAAAGAAAGCAGTAAAAGACATTAGAATTGCAAAATGTGGCAAGAAAAAACACATTTTTTCCCCCAAGGGAAAGGAAGTACTATTTTTATCTTTGTGTGGAAGAAGGTGATGCTGCAGTCACCTAGCACATTAGTAAGATTAAATGTTGATGATATTACTCTCTGTCAGCCTTGAGAAGGTGAAAAAGGCACCCGACAGTTACATGAGGAATGCAGAATGGTGGCAATAAAAACATCTACATAGTTGCCACCCCTAGTTTGGAAGTCTGCTGGAAAAATCTAGAGGTCTTTTACATTAGATTTTTCTTCAGCTGTACTCTGCTCTTCATAACAGCTTCATAAATCTTGTTATTGAGATAGCTGCTAATTATTTGCACTCCTGTAAGTCAAACTGGAACCCATAAATGTGCATTCACAGTGTTACCTAAACAAGACCTAGTGAAGCCACCCAAAATTATAAAGAAGCCAAAAGTCATTGTTGAAACATTTGAGGGATAACCAGACTCTGGGAATATTCTTAAAATTTTGTTCTGATTTTTATGTTAGGCCACACAGAAAATAAGAAATTATAAAGATATATTAAATAAAAGTGATTGCATTGTGCAAAATGAGAATAAACTAAGAGATGTCTGAAAAATACTCTTTTTATTATGTTACATTTCTAATATCTAAAAATAAACACTTGTTTATTCAGATTTGATGATAGCATTGACTCACCTACCACGCAGCAAACCAAAGATTTCTCTAATGTGTTTGTTTTGAAGAACTAACTTGCAAAACAAGGAGTCCTTTTAGTGGCAATAACATTTTATAATCGCAGAAGGGCTGTCATTTTTCAGGCTGGGAACACAAAATAGCACTTCATGTTTACCATGTTCATAGTCATCAATCTAAGTACCCTGGAGTGGAAGACTTGAAAGGCTTCACATATAAGCTGCCTCATATGGCGTCACACGTGTTTCCTCATTTGATATAAATAGCTCCTGGTTGTTCTTTTCTCCACTTGGCTTCACCTCTTCTGAGGTCAGGTATTGTGCAGATCTCGTGTGTGATGAGGGAGGTCAGCCATGGCCATTTGGAGATGCACAGGCTGACTCAGAGCATGAATCACACTATAAAGAAGACAGTCTGTCCCTCAGCTTTTATGAAAAATTCACACTAATTTCAGTGAAGCTTCTTGTTAACAGCAGACACTTTAGAAAAATGCAACTGGACTAGGTTTGTGTCTTCTACTGAGAGTACATCTCCTTAAGGCAGATAACATATCCTCCTTAGGATATGTCACCTCAGGGACATATTTATTCCCTTAAGACATGCCCCTGAAGTGCCTGGTGTTATGATTTAGCTGTATAACCCTGTACCTCCAAACATTTCATTTCTTCCCTGTGACAACAAGTGCAGAAGCAAATAAACTGAGGTAATAAAAAGATGGTCACTAGACTCCTTTAACCCCTCCCAGACCAAATGGCTAAAATGGCCATCCAGCCATAAATAAGAGCTGGGTGACTGTATCTGTGCAGCATTTGTCCCATGATGTGGGATGATGCACGAGAAACAAATAAGAGCTGGGTGACTGTATCTGTGCAGCATTTGTCCCATGATGTGGGATGATGCACGAGAAACACAGAATACACTGAAAAGCAAAGGAAAGATTTAGAGATACAATCAACCTGAGATCAAGAGAGATGGATTCAGATCCTGACTTTGCCACAGACATCTTCTGTGGCATCAGATAAATCACACAATTTCCCTGTGCTCAAGATACCCCATCAGGAGGTTCACAGAGGAAGGGGTGAGCACAAGGTGGTCTGTGGTCTCCCATTAGCATCTGGGTGCCCTGTAGCTCACACACACACTGCAAGGACCACTGCACTTGAGTTAAGCTCTGCATTTTTTTCTCTTCTCTTCTCTTCTCTTCTCTTCTCTTCTCTTCTCTTCTCTTCTCTTCTCTTCTCTTCTCTTCTCTTCTCTTCTCTGCTTGTTTTGTTCAGCAGCAGATCTATCTGTGCAGTGGCCAGCCCTTCCTACATACCATGCCAAGGCAAGATCCTGCAGGGACCATCATACTGTGATACAAAGAGGACCTGCTAAAGTGCCCATCTAAAGGCTGTGCCACGATGTAGGCAACACAAAGGCCATGTAGGTCGGTGATGTGCCAAATTGTTGGGCCACTGCCTGTGCTCAGAGTGGCCATGACAGTGTTGACAACAGAGTAGCACAGTGAAGCTGGTTCTGCAGGTCAGGCTGATGTCCCTACGCAAGCACTGCTGCATCAGTGTCATTAGGTGTTAGCACCAGACAGCAGATCCCTTCTCCTGGCTCAGTGTCACAGTAGGGAAGTAGCTAAATTCAGGTGTGGGGGTGTGAAATGTTCAATCATAAAGTGAGAGCAGTTACCTCAAGCCTGCAGGTTTGCAGAGGCATTGGCCAAAACGCTTTCCTCAGGAAAGCTGCAGCCCTGAGTGCTCAGAAGAGGAGGGTGAGCACGCACACACACACACACACACACACACACACACACACACACACACACACACCCAGCTCAGGGGCCTGGGCTTGCCGTGCAGCCTACACAGTGCCAGCAAATACCTGGGAGTGAAATTCAATTGTTCCACACCACAATCATCTCATTCAGTCAGAAAACCGGCCTTCAGACTAATCCTCCTCAGAGACTAGTTACAAGGAAAGTTTCAGCTTGTAATGTTGTCATTTTGGTTACACACATGAAGACAAGAAAAGGAATAGCTTGATTTGAAGTGTTCAGCACCTGTGGCTCAGGTTGACTTGACTGGTATTTCTGACTACTTGACAATTCTGAAAAGAAGACCAACCCTTTCACAGCAGAAAAGGGTTCTTTTCTCCTTCCTTGTAAGCAGAATTCACATATAATTCATGTAGAAACTAACCAAAATAAAAAGGTTTGGGGCTGAAATCAGGCAGATAATTTTCAGCCCAAAAGTGCAGTTATCAGCACACAGAGATACAGATTATTGTAGAAGTCTCCACTTACACTGAATACGGTGTTCCACCACAGTACAAAAAAAAGAAATTATACAAGTATAATTATTACTATAAGAAGCTATTGCAGCTGCAGTAAGTGATGACACCAGTTAAGACTGTTAAAGGCTCATTTTAACTTCATCTCCTCACTAGTCTCCCTGGGACTTTTTGCTTTGTTATTCTTTCAAGTAAGTGTAAACTAAGGGTTTTGCCTTTTACAGACCCTAATGTTCAACTCCATTTCTGTATCTCTAAAATACAGCAACTTCTGATTTAAACAGCTCTGAGCAGGCATTCATAATTGAATTCCACTACAATTTTGAATAAAACCGCAGATAGGCTGTTTGTTTTTTCAAGCTAAAATTAGTTATAGCCACCAATACAAATGGTCTGCATTCATGCAGGTTTGTGTAGTGGGCTGCCCACAGCACCCGCATGGTGCCAGATACAAACCTAAACTAGTAATTTGGAAGGATTTCAACATCAACCTTCCCGATTTCCCTGCCTAGGGGCTGTTTGAGTAATTAAAGATTACCCAGCTCTTGCTGGAGGCCACCAATGCATTAGCTGTAGTCAACACCATGTTTTGGAAAAGTGTGGCTACCTGTGTTTAGTCCCAGTATCCCGTAAGTTGTGAAAGAGGGACAGAGCTCATGATAGGGGAGAAGCAGTTGCCACTTGCAGGTGCCTGTGGTGATGTTTTGGAGCTGCTTCAGGTGAGGATCACAAACAAACTGGAAAAATGCCAGAGGAGCCTATCAGAAAATGTTGCAAATTTTATTAGAAATTCTTCCCTCTGAAAGCAGTTTTCAGTACTGATTTACCAAAATTGAAGGACATCCTAAAGGAAGGTCTCGTACTCCTTGATATTACTATGAGAAATGTGGGCAACTCAGTATAATGTATGTTTGAGTTTGCAGATGATCTCCAGCTGACAGAGGCTGCATGCCTGTTAAAGGATAAGCATTCAAAAATGTCTATAATTATAGGGAAAAGGGATTGTAAAAGAATAGGGATGTTACAGAAGATACAAAGTTATAAAGTTAAGTAGGAATAGTAAATCCCTCAAGTGTGAGACCCTGATGAGCAAAGGGAGTTAAGACAAAGGTTCCTCAGAAGAATATCTGCAGCCAACAGTATATCACAAGGTGAACATTAGCATGTTGATGTAAAAAGAAAAATAAAAAACACTGAAAAGACATAGTAAAATTATGTGTAAGACCTTAATTAATCTTCTGCAGTCCTCAGGAAAAAAATATTCTTGTGAGAGTATAGCTCAATTCCCATAGAGGTATAAGTTCCTACCCATTTGGACTTCTGCAGTGAAGAAGGACACACTGACATGACATGAGATGCACTTTCTGTCTAGGGTAGGGGAATATACCTATTCCTACTTCAGCTCGTTGGCAGCTCCCAGCACATCAGCAGGAGGTTGTCTTGTTTGGCTGCAGAAGAGAATAAGTTCACATGGATAATCAATACTCAGCTGCCCAATGCTGGAAACATTAGTGCCAGGTAGCAAGTAATGTCTAAATAGTCTGTTAACACAAGCCATTAATAACTACTTGGAAAACAGAATCAGCTCCTAAATTATTCTTAAGTAGAAAAAAGTTTTATTTGAAGCGCCTACAATTTACAAGAGATAATGTGAGCTCTGTTCCCAACCCCTTTCCAGACTCTGGATTTCCACCATCCATAGCCCAGTGTCTTTTGTATTCTGTTTTTTTAAAAAAACACAAGAAAAGGGTGTTTATGTGAGATAAGGCACCAAAAGTCTAAAATCTAAGTGGTTTTCTGCCCTGCAGTGAACACTAAGTGTAGGCTAATTTTCAATGAACTGCTTAGCAAAACCAAATTAATATATAAAAAACCCAAATTGCTGCTGCTAGACCAGCTCTTTTACAGATTCCTGAGTTTCTCTCTCCTTCCCTTTCAAATACAGGGCATGTCGTTCCTGAAAGCTAAGATACCAAGAGACATTGCCCTTTGT